ACTAACCGTTTTGTGCTCCTCTTTGACTAAGGAAACTGCAAAGTTACTTCTATTTGATCGTGGAGTATCGCTTTTGCTGGATGTAGTCCTAACTGACACTGATACCTTATAAACACAATGGTGAAGATGACCTAATCAAGCCCAATCATGTATTGAATAGGCATAAAATTTACGACCATGTTTTTCTCCTTCTCTGGTTGGAGGGAGAACTCCATTAAATAGAAAACTGGTTAGAGGATGTTTAGTCTAATCAGGGATGAAGAAAATAGAGACCTGTAATTGATCGAATTCCGTTTTGGACAAGACATAAATGAGGTGACTTTTTTCAAAAGAAAAATTAATGGTTAACCAGCAATTAACAGTTAAAGCAATTTTTCATTATTTCGAGCAAACAGGCGCATACTAAATATAGATTAGTCTTCGACCAAAAAATATATATATATATAGATTAGTCGTTGTTGCCCACATTGATCGCACTAGAAATTGAGTATTCACCACAAAACCCAAGCAAAAACGTTCGAAAACAAATTGCCCGATGCATTTGAGAGGCGATCATGCATTGCACGGCGTGATTCAGATGTTTTAAAGAGTCCCAAATTTCCCAACGAGAAAACTAGGCCATTTAACCTTCCTCTAAAACAATATCGATTTTGGTTCCCAAAGTTTGAGAAAAGGGAATCTCTATTTGTTTCAATGATAGTCTCTTATGGCACAATCATATTACTTTCTCTAGTGAAGATTTTCGCCATAAAAAATGTCAGGTGCAAAGCACTATTTGGTTTTGCTTTTTGAAGACAAATTCCAAAAGGGATTTCAAAATTACTCCCACTTTGTCATCCAGAAATCTTATTTTGGACTTGTTTTGCTAAAATTGCTCCCGAAACGAAATATCTTTCACCTAAAGTCGTTTTCCAGCTTTAACGAAAGGAGACAGGTCCTGTAGCTATTTTGGACAGGAAATATCTAGGTAGATAACAAATAACTGCAAATCTTTACTTCAAACTTCGAACCGAACTTTACATATAAACCGTGCCGTAATTTAATCGACGACAAAACTTGAAAATGCAGTCACTTTCATAGCAACACACGCACAAAAACTGTGTCGCAATTTAATTGACGACAAAGCTTGAGAATGTGCAAAGATGTAATGCCGGAATTTAATCAACGACACAACATCCAAGATAGGGATAGACGCCATAATTTAATTGATGACGAGAATTGCAAAGCTACAACTATGGAAAAATAAAGTGCAGTACAGGAAAGTCAAAATAATTGAAATATAAAATTTTGATTGATTTGTCGAGGGCTCTCCGAAGAGTACAATGTGGCTATTTAAAGCCTACAATCGACAGTTATCAACGAATGCTATAAATGTGGTTACAAATAGTTACTAAAAAAGAAATAACTTCCTAGCGGTTACGAGAAGTTACAAAGAGAGGGACTCACCAAACAGTGAATAAAATATAGCAAAATTTCTAGATTTCATATCCTATCCTATCCTTACTAAAAATCCAGATGGTCAAACACAACCTTAGAGCTTTACCATCCAAGGGATGAATTGTCATTTTACTTCTCACCGGGTGAACGTATGATCTATGCAGACTAACCATTTTGTGCACCTCTTTGACTGAGGAAACTGCAAAGTTACTTCTATTTGATCGTGGGGTATCACTTTTGCTGGATGTAGTCCTGACTTACATTGATGCCTTATAAATAGAATGGTGAAGATGCCATAATCGAGCCCAATCATGTATTGAATAGGCATAAAATTTACGACCATGTTTTTCGTCATCTCTGGTTGGAGGGAGAACTCCACTAAATAGAAAAGTTAGAGGATGTTTGGTCTAATCAAGGATGAGGAAAATAGAGACCTCTAATTGATCGAATTCTGTTATGGACAAGACATAAATGGGGTGACTTTTTTAAAAAGAAAAATTGATGGTTAACCAGCAATTAACAGCTAAAGTAATTTTTCATTTTTTCGAGCAAATAGGCGCATATTAAATATAGATTAGTCCTTATTGCCCACATTGACAGCACTAGAAATTTGGTATTCATCATGAAACCCAAGCAAAAACAGTTGAAAACAAATCGCCCAATGCATTTGAGTGGCGATCATGCATCGCACGACATGATTCGGATGTTTTAGAGAGTCCTAAATCTCCCAACAAGAAAACTAGGCCATTTAACCTTCCTCTAAAACAATATCAATTTTGGTTCCTAAAGTTTGAGAAAAGGGAATCGCTATTTGTTGCAATGATAGTCGGAATAAGGACACTAGGAGTGCCATAATTTTCGTACGATGCTCATTTGAGTGCCATAACTTTTTTTTTGCTCACTTAAGTGCTACTTCCGGCAAAAAAAGATCACTTGAGTGTCACTTTCGGCGAAACTAGATCATTTGAGTGCCATTTCCGGCAAACCATCCTATGTGGATTTTTTTATTAATTTTCCATCCGACGTGGATTTTTAAAATATTTTTTTATTTTATTTTTTTGAATTTTTCTTTTTCTTTTTCTTTTTTATTTTCCTTCTTTTTTTCCTTCTCTTTTTCAATGCCAACGAGGGTCACCAGTGACCCTCGTCAGCTATGAAGGCCTTGCCCAGATTGGGCGACTGCTACCTTACCCTCGGCTGCGAAGGCCCTGGGCGAGGTCGTCTCCAGATCTGGGTGACCACGAGCGACGCGGCCTCGCCAGATCTGACGAGAGCTTTCGCCACCTCGCTTGCGGCCGCGAAAGCCCTTGGCGAGGCCGTCGCGAACAGGCGACGGCCTCGGCTGTCGTGGGTGAGGCGGCGAAGGCCATCGCCAAATCTGGCGAGGCCACCTCGCTCGCGACCGCCCAGATCTAGCGACGGCCTTTGCGATTCGAGCGAGGTGGTGAAGGCTCTCACCAGATCTAGCGAGAGCCTTCGTCGCCTCGCCTGCCGCAGGCGAGGCCGCAACGGCCTCACCCAAAGCCTTCTTGGCCGAGGGCAAGGCGGCCCTCGCCCAATCTGGGCAAGGCCTTCGCAGCCGGCGAGGGTCGCCGGTGACCCTCTCCGACAATGAAAAAAAAATTGCAAAAAAAAAGGAAAAAAAATTCAAAAATTCAAAAAAATATATTAAAATATTTTTCACATCAGCTCCGGTGAAGCCATGTAGGATGACCGATGTCCATGTCAGATTTTTCGGCTGCCAAATGGCCGATAGCACTCAAGTGATTACTTTTTGCCGGAAATGGCATTTAAGTGAGCCAAAAAAGAATTATGGCATTCAAGTGAGCGCCGTACGAAAATTATGACACTCCTAGTGTCCTTATCCCAATGATAGTCTCCTATGGCACAATCATATCACTTTCTCCAGTGAAGATTTTCGCTCTAAAAAATGTCAGGTGCAAAGCACTGTTTGGTTTTGCTTTTTTAAGATGAATTCCAAAAGGGATTTCAAAATTACTCCCACTTCATCATCCTTAAATTTTATTTTGGACTTGTTTCGCCAAAATTGCTCTCGTGACGAAATATCTTTCACTGAAAGTCGTTCTTTGACTTTTAATGAGAGGAGACGAGTTTTGTGGCAATTTCAGACTGCAAATCTTTACTTCAAACTTCAAACCGAACTGTACGTACAAACCGTACCGTAATTTATTTGATGACAAAACTTGAAAATACAGCCACTTCACAGCAACACACGTACACAAACTGTGTTGCAATTTAATCGACGACAAAGCTTGAGAATATGCAAAGATGTAACGCCGAAATTTAATCGATGACACAACATTTGGGATAGAGATACACGCTAGAATTTAATTGACGACGCGAATAGCAAAGCTACAACTATGGAAAAATAAAGTGCAGTACAGGAAAGTCAAAATAATTGAAATATAACATTTTGATTGATTTGTTGGTGGCTTTCCGAAGAGTACGATGTGGCTATTTAAATCCTATAATCGACAGTTATCAGTAGAGATTGCAAATGAGGTTACAAACGCTTACTAAAAAAGAAATAACTTCCTGGTTACGAGAAGTAAAGAGAAGTTACAAAATGAGGTTACAAAATGAGGTTACAAACAAGGCTATAATAGGATGTTACAAGGGAGGTTAAAAACAAAAGTTCCAATGGGAAGTTACCAACAGAGGTTATAAACGGTTATCGACGGTTATGTTATCTCCGCTTTATTAATTGTTTCTTCGACTTTGTTACTTTGATGATTTTTTCGATTCCATCACGGAGATGGTTGCTTTATTCCACTACGTTGGCAATTACTTTTTTGACGATTGCATTCGATATTATCGATTCCAACTTTTGTCGATTTCTTGGCGATTCTTCACATTTTGGGTGTAAACAGGACTCGACTCGTAAGTACAACATCATGTGCAAGTGCATCTAAGTTCTTGAATTTGTAAGCCCTTTTTCAATCATCAAATCCGTCACTTTCTAATTCTGACAAATTGAAGCAGACACGTCCATCGATTGCGGTCAAAACTATGATGGACAAAACACCTCTACCGTAACCAATTGCATCGGCTATAGTGCATGAGTTATGATAACCCAAGAGACAACGAAAACATATTTTCAACGGCTTCTTATTTTACGGCGGCACTAATTATATCAAACGAGACTTTTTAGTCGAGCAAAAACCGATACCGTCGGCTTCAATTCGCTGGAATTAGTTAAGAGAGGATTTCACTGAGAGAGTTACACGAGTTCAAGGACTTACATTTGTTCTTTTTTGGTCGTAAGGACACACATTATACCAAGAGAAAAAAAACATAAACTTCGCCCGGTCGGAATAACTGTCAACGGTCAAGAATCTAGATGGTTACCGTACAAATCTCCCGCGCGCAACAAAACGGCCTGCCACGCCACGTGGCATCTGTTTCCTTCTCCGATATTCTCCTCGGATGACGTGGACGGACGCCAAACGCCCGTACGACCTCAACAATCCCCCTCGAAATCCTCCGAAATTACGAATCTGCCACTTACCTCGCTCACCATCTTGAAAAAGTGCGCTGAGCCAGACCAGAACTCAACCTTTTGCTCTCTCGCTCGCGCTCCCCGCACGCGCGCCAATGGCTTCTCTCCAGACTCACCAGCTCAATCCCCAATTCCACCGCCGTTTCTCTCTGCTCTCTCCGAAACACGGCGCCCCAAGGAGGGTTCTGGGGCTCTCGCGGCACTTTCCGGCCTCGTTTTCCCGGAGAATTAGAGCTCCGGAGCTCCCGGAAAGTTGCCGGGGCGGGGATGGGGACGGGGGGAGGAGCTCGTTCGAGTGCTGTTGCCAAGCCAGCGCGGAAGTCGCGAAGATCGAAGCCTCGGAGGAGAACGAGCGGCGACCGTTCGACATCAATCTCGCGGTCATCCTCGCCGGTTTCGCCTTCGAAGCCTACACCACTCCTCCAGTAATCGAACTCTCGAATTAGTCTTTCTGGAGTTTGCATCAATTTAAGAAGTGAAAAATGTTACAAAAGTTTAATTTAGGGTAGTCCCTGTTGTGATTATGCTTTTATTCGAGACTAATGTGTGCTTTGTACTTTTGGGGCATGCTGATTAGGAAAATATTGGAAGGCGAGAAGTGGATGCTGCGGGGTGTAAGACAGTGTATCTTTCAGAGTATGTGATGATTTCTTCCGAATAATCAGAGGGGTAAAAGCTAATTTTCTGTTTGTTTGGTTGGTTTGGTTCGGTTTGGTTCGGTTCGGTTCGGTTCGGTTCGGTTTGGGTCTGCCATCGAACACTCGTGCTGCTTACATGTTTTGGCATGGCTTTCGTACTTTGTACGTACAAGTATTTTATACATGTTTATATGCACTTTTGGCCAGTAATATATGCAGGGGATTGTGTGTTTGCTCTACAATAGATGAAGGTGGATTGGTCAATGGAAAACAAAGAATTGAAATATTGAGTTTACATATCTAGGTCATTTGTCCGCAAAATATACGATGGTCAGCTGTTCATAAAGCTCAAGAAGGGTATCAATCTTCCTGCCATGGATCTGTGGGTATGTCAGTTTCTTGTGGGATAAGACATTATGCTGAATGTTTTGAATTTATGCTTGTCTATTTGTTGCATCTTTACTTCCCGCTGTATCTTTTTGTGGCATCTTTCGTGAATGACTGAAGTGTTTTTTCTCCTGAATTGATATCTTTGCTTCTATTAAATAAATCTTAAGTTAGACTTATGGAAATTAATCTTTCCTTCCAGATATTGACAAGGCCCATTTTTTTCCGAATGTGTGGTAGGGAACAAGTGATCCATATGTAGTCATGCAATTGGATGGTCAGGTTGTGAAAAGCAAGGTCAAATGGGGGTAAGCAATGTATTTGATTGAGTACGTAGTGGTATTGCATTTCTTATTAGGATAGAAAAATGAAGGATGACATGTTCTTTTTTGTATCGCAGCATTAGCAGTATCTCTGAAATTATAAATATTAGGGTATATGACCCCTTTCCAACCACACATAGAGAGGATATTTTGCTTTTGCCTCTAGTTTTAGGAATAAATGGTTGTAGTGGATTTTTTGGACAAGTATGTTGGGGAGCAACAGGGAGGGTGCCTCCCATTTACAACCTAGAACTTAGAAAGATCTACTTAAAAAAACACTGAACATCTAAGGAGCTATCCCTGTACTACCCCAAAAAAAGTGCTAAGCCATCTGTCTTTCATAGCACTTGTAGAAGTTCTCTCGTTTTTGAAAGCCTTTGTAGCACCTGTAGAACTTTCCTCATTTCTGAAAGCCCTCCTAACTTACCTCTTTTCATAATTATTGATTTTTTTTTGTTTTCTATTAGAATTAAATTGTTCAAAAAGAGTATGTAATCTTTCTCTTCTGTTAAATTCCTATTGTTTATTTCTTTCCTTCCATATGAGCCAAAGTGAATGAAAACAAAAAAGAACTTCTACCTTTACAACTATTTGAACCTGACCTAGCTTGGAGTTACTCTCTAACATACCCCACACAGCCCATGTAATGTCCCGAGATGACAAAGCCATACTGAAGGAGCGGAGAACTATGTTAGTGAAGGCTATGAAGTTCCAAATTAAGATTCTGTTTGCGTCTCCTTAAAATGTTAAAGGGTACTTTCACTTATTAAAATGAGCAATACAATATTTATCAGCTACTGATTATTTTTTGTGCCTCTCACATGATGACCTAAATGATAAAACTTATTATTAGCATTCCCCATCAGTTTCGGCAAAATAATTTTTCTGAAGCTACTGAAGCAATAATCTTTAGTTCTTTTTAAATCGGCTAATTGCAATTTAGTTTATCTGCAGTATACAGAATACAGGCGATGAGAGCATATGATGCATATGGAGGAAAAATTAAGTTTAATCTGGATTTATGGACTTATTGCAACTTTATTTGTCAATCAAATTTGCTGACAGGACAAAAAAGCCAACCTGGAATGAGGAATTCACTTTTAACATTAAGCTCCCTCCGACTAAAAACCTCCAGGTTAAGCCTCTACCAGAGTGATATCCATTACTTCCTTTCCAATTTGCATTTGTGGACTAATTGGAGACTGAATTGCTGGCATATTTAGGAAGGACTTATCCTAAAATACGTGAGGCTACTTTTGTAATAAATGAATGCACAACATTCTGAGGGGGACCAACTGCTGCATCAATTTTTGGACTCCTCTTTTATGTGCTCAGCAGAATTGCTCATTTGTTGCCTTATTTAATGTTGTTATCCCAAGTTGATTGTGCCATATATCTTGCATTAATATAACATGAAGCAAGCTACTCCTTTTTTTTTCTTTTTTCTTTTGAGTAAGACCTTGTTGATTTTGGCACTCAGCGAATGAACACAGCTATCCTTAAATTTGTAAACTGAAGCTGAATCATTGTTGATCTTTACGTTATTCACTGTGGTGTGGATGCTAGGTGGCAGCTTGGGATGCAAACTTGGTAACTCCACACAAGCGAATGGGTAATGCAGGAATTTGTTTGGAGCCTCTGTGTGATGGTGAGAATCATTGAATTCGTTGTCGATATGTATTTTGAACTTTCTTGTGCAGTGCTGCTCGTGTTTTATTTGGGTGTTTTGGAAGTCAAATAATTGAGCAATGATATCAGATCATTTTTTCACCTGTGAAACATTATTTGCTACTCTATGACCTTGGCAATGGATGAAATGATTACCATATGGAAATTGCACTTTTTCTTGACGAGCATGTCTGTTTCCAGGAGATTCACATGAGATGGTTGTGGAATTAGAAGGAATGGGTGGTGGAGGGAAGATACAGTTAGAGGTAAGTGTGGAAACATTATGATATTAATCACATAGTAGGAAGTTCTTTTGAAAGGACGATTAGGATTTCTGTTTGAAGACTCTGACTTCTTGAAGTAAGCATCTATATATGTTTTGTAATTGTTCAAATTAAAGGAAGTTCCAATTAGAAGGTAGAGTTTTCATGTGGGCCTACAGCTTCCAGCATTCTATCTGTGAATAGTTGAGCATTAGTGAGAGCTTTCTATTAATGTTTGCTTATTAAGTACCTGGAAATTACTGTATAAGAGCTTTCTCCTAGGTGGTGTAGCATCATTTCTCTCTTTTGTCATTATAAATCAGTCACTGGGTGAATCTTAGATGCTTGAAGAACCAGTTTACACCGATACGCTATGAACCCCGGACATCTAAGTCTGCACATGCTCCAGTCCAACCCTTATCATTAGGCTAAACTTCCTTGCTTTATTATATTGGTTGAAAAAACGACATTGGAAAACAAAGTAAACCTCTTATCTTTTTCAAAGACATTGAGTCAATTACGGGGGTTGTTTGTCCATGTCATTATCTTGTCATGTCAAAATAGGGTATATTCTGGGATGGATATGACACAAACACACGGTGTTTGTATATCGTCTCACATAGGAACTACTAATAAACAAGTTTAGTAACAATCTTTCGGAAACCAGACAAAAACTCTGGGAGGAGAAAAAGTATTTCCACTATTGAACTTTGGAAGGAATATTAGAGAATTCTATCTGAACCAGGCAAAATTAATTTAATTTCAGGAGGGTGATGAGTATCTGAATTCCATATATGAGAATTCTAACCTTAGTTGTGGTGTTGTGGACTTTTTTCCATGCTTTACTAAGATACCTGTTATTCATCCTTCTGCGTGTTATGCCGGAAAAATGAGCAAGCTCACTGATGATGCTGTTTCAGGTTAGATATAAAAGTTTTGATGAAATTGATGAGGGAAAGAAGTGGTGGAAGCTCCCATTTGTTTCAGAATTTCTCAGGCAAAATGGGTTCGAGTCTACTTTGAAATCAATTGTTGGGTCTGAGAGTGTGCCAGCTCGGCAGTTTGTTGAATATGCTTTTGGGCAGCTGAAATCCTTTAATGAGACATATCCTTGGAAGGATAAGCTTTTGAATAGTGGTAAATATGTAGCAGAAGGGGAATCGGTCAATGCCACTGCTGCTCCTGAGAAGTTTTCATCTGTAGATAGTGTTCCATTGCTGAATGAGCAGAGCCTGAATGAAGAGAACATTGTTGTTGAGTCTTCCCCTGATTCAACTGGAGTTGATTATACCAATGCAGAAAAAATGCTAGTTGGTGAATCCATACAGTTCGACAAACATTTCTGGAAGAACTTTGCAGATGTTATCAATAAGAAGGTTGTACAGAAACTTGGTCTTCCTGTCCCTGAGAATGTAAAATGGGATGGGTTTGATGTACTAAAGAAGATTGGCATACAATCCAGGAAAGTTGCAGAAGAAGGTTACGTTGAATCTGGGCTTGCAACGCCAAGTAGCCAAGAAATTGATGATTCCACAGAGGATGGGCCACTTCCAAGAAGTGCAATTCAGTCTTCAATTACGGATATAAAACAGGTGACACAAGATTTGTTACAACAAACTGATTCTGTTTTGGGGGCATTGATGGTTTTGACTGCGGCAGTTTCTCGGCTAAATAAGGAAGCCACGCATTCTATGGAAAAGAATGATAATAAAATGAAAAATGATGGTTCTGTGTATTCTAAGAATGAGAATCTTGCTGTCTCATCGGACGTGTCATTATTGGATGACAAGGAAGCCGAGGAGATGAAAGCTCTCTTCTCTTCTGCAGAAAGTGCCATGGAAGCTTGGGCGATGCTTGCCACTTCTCTTGGTCATCCTAGTTTTGTCAAGTCCGAATTTGAGAAAATTTGCTTCTTAGATAACGCATCCACTGATACACAGGTATTGTCTTCCTGTATTGAGGAAGCTGCTTCCTAATCTGCTTTTTCTCATGCATTTTTAATTGGGGATGGAATCATGTATGAATGAAGTACGGTTACTGCAGGCAGCAATCTGGCGCGATTCTGCACGAAGAAGATTACTTGTTGCATTTAGAGGAACGGAACAAGTAATCAGTTTCACTGTCTTTCCCTTAGCAACCTTATTTATGTGGTTGTGAGGTAGATATTTATTCTTTTCTGTCTGTTTTTCCCAGTCAAGATGGAAGGACTTGCGGACTGATTTGATGCTCGCCCCTGCTGGGTAATGTGAAAAATCAATTAATTCACTGGATTGTCTTCTCTCAACATATATGTCATTACCGGTTTTATTTCTACTATTTTGCTTGTTTGTTGGTCATGTAGGAGCAAATCATCATCTCTCTCTTAGCCTTGACTTGTATAAAATCAAAATTTGCAACCTTCTTTAGTTTCTCACCAAGAAAAACGAATTGTAGCTTCAAAGATCGTCCAAGTCTGATATGATGTTATAGTCTTTTGTCTCCTTGTAGTTTGCGGTGCTAAGCAATAATCCAGAACATATGATTAGGCTTGAAACCAATTCTGTTACATTGAGCAGGGCTTATCGTTAATGATCCTATGATACCTGGGAATTGGTGAGTGATATATGCCAATTGCTACATCTATATTTGCAGATAGGTTTCGAGTAGGGCTCTTTTTGGTGTCATCTTTTCTATGTGAAAAGATGTCCATCCTTGTTGCTTGTTTGAACTGTTCAAATTCACTAATTCTTTTGGTTGTTGCTTGTTGCTTGTTTCGACTGTGGAAATTCACCAATTCTTTTGGTTGTTTGATATGCTTATCCTCTCTGTAATTTTTATGTAAGTCGGGCTAACGTAATACACTGATACTACATGTCAATATTTTTTTTTCTTGATGTTTATTTTGTTATGCTTCTACAGTTTGAACCCCGAAAGGATTGGTGGAGATTTCAAGGAAGAAGTTCAAGTATACTGCTATTCTAGATCTTGATTTCTTTTGTTGATTATTATGAGATGCATAATTTGCTGAGTCCGTCCATTATCCTTCTCCTTGCTTACAACTTTTTTTTGCTTGTTTTCCAGGTTCACAGTGGCTTTTTAAGCGCATATGATTCAGTGAGAATAAGAATTTTATCACTCCTCAAAATGGCAATCGGTTTTGTGTAAGCACTGTTCCTAGAAAATTATGATAAACAAATCATGCTTGCTCCTCATGAAATACCATAAAAGAATTCAGAGAGTTGTAGGCATCGATCCTATGCAGTTGATATTCTCCTTGAGAAGGTCTGTGTGATCAAGTTGAGGTGTATCTTGCATGAGCTGCATCATGCTCTTCGGAGTAAGTTTTGTGGGTTTGGAGTTGCAATGCCTCGAGGATTAGCAGTCCTCAAGTTGTGGGTGACACCAGGGAGCCCAGGATAAAACCATGCAGATTGGGACTCACCTGGCTGGGGCGAGTTAAATCGATGCAGGGGCGGAGTATTCAGGATATTGAGAGCTGGAAAAGAGGCAAGTGGACAACAAAGGATGGATTCCTTGAAGCTACGTCAAGGTGCAGAGATAGTTGGGCATACAGTAGCATAGGATGAAGAGTCAGGGGGTTTGATGCACGGACGTGGTGGCCCCAAGGGAGAGTATTTCGGAAGCCTTTGTTCATGGTGGCTACACATGAGAGATGACCGAACTCAATAAGGAAGCTGTGTTAGTGAGTGAGAGTTAACAAAGAAGTCCGATATTTGTTGGTTTTCTCTCTCTTGGTGGATCTGATTCCATGTTTAGTATTTAGGGAGTGCAGAAGAGACGAAAGGAGAGAACACAAAATACCTGCTTGACTTTATGCATAAGTATATTGATGCTTCACTTACCAAGCCTAGGGAGACAATCTACTCAATACCCAAGTCCTTAACTACCTTATTTAGAATTCCCAACTCTCATGTACTAACCATGTGTCTCACTAGACAAATATTCTTCAACAGTTTTTTTTCCCTCCAGGCATAATCTTACTTCAGTGCAAACTTAATTGCTAGTGTTTCTTTCATTTTGTCATATGTCAAGGAACTCTATGAATGCATTCAAACAAGTTTTGCTCCATTACTAAATGGCTAGCATGCTGTGTTGTTACCAAGAGCTGATTGTCTTGTGACAACTTGACGGCCAAATGTTTTCTCGCAGGGATGATGGTTCTGAGCCACAGTACAAGTGGCATGTCTATGTCACTGGTCATAGTTTAGGTGGTGCTCTAGCTACTCTCCTTGCTCTTGAGCTTTCATCAAGTCAGTTAGCAAAGTGAGTCCTGTCTTTCATACTAAAGATAACTGTTATATTTACTTTTCTGCCTCAAATATTTGTCCACCCGCAAAATGCTGGCATGCATTTGATTGCAGTAATACTCTCAAGTATTTGACAGATGTTGACGATTTTCAATGATTAAGATTTATTGTTACATTGAATGGACCAATAGTGTACAAAGTTGCAGAATTGGACTCTCTGTGTGTGTGTGTGTGTGTGTGTGGGTGGGTGGGTGCGCGCACTTGGGCATGTGTGCGCTAGCACTTTTGCAGGTAGCTCAAAGGTAAACACATGATGGACTAAAGAAAAAACATTGTGTTATTTGTTTGATAAATACCTGAACGGTTTGTATCACATAATCCAGCAAAGAAAAATCTATTGGCTTTGAACCATGAGATTAATAAATAATGATTTTGTGTGATGACTCTGGGCGAATTTTTGTCTGAGGTACTTGTGAGGACCTGCCCATTCTTCTTGGTATTCTTGGTATAGCATGGATAAAGTTTGGTGGAATACTTTTCATGCTTTTCTAGCCTCAATAGACTGCATTCTCTTTGTGAGATTCCACAGATTCATCTAATTTGATTCTTGACTTTACATGGTCATTTTAGTGCCTGATATAGTGATGTGCGTAATCGTTTAATTCGGTAACTTAAACTGACAGAGTGTGGTGCATATTATATTCCATAGCTAAGTACCCCTCATGGAGACTGCTGCTATGATGAGGAAAGCATGAAGCATGCGAAATCAATAAACATGGCTCATGGGTGAAGATTATTAAAATTCAAGGCATCTAAAGAAGGGAAACTAGAAAGGGATGAAAGATTAGGTGTGGGGATTCGAACTCGAGATCTCTAGCTGTTATACCATGTTATAGTTCTGTGCACAAACCGACTAACTGCAAAAGCTTAGGCTGTTTGAATATAGTTTATATCATGTTATGTAACTTAATTGTGCCAATGACACGAGATACTAAATGTGTAAAGTAGCGACCTGAGTTCTTCAATTGTAAGTTTATCTGAAAGCAGGGACCGGAATGGCTTCTTTTTATTACTCTTAAGTGTCTTAGGCCAATTTAAATTAGAATCATGGGAGTAGATTTTTTAATCTTTTTTCCTTATGGCATGTAACTAATTCATTTTGTTTATATTAGGCGCGGAGCAATATATGTGACTATGTACAACTTCGGATCTCCTAGAGTTGGTAACAGGAGATTTGCAGAACTCTATAATGAGGTAAGAGAAATATGTACCATGTAGCCCTGTCATCTGTATTCAGATCCTTACGACCATGTAGCCTTGTCATCTGTACTCTGATCCTTGAGAAAACTAAGTGATGGCTACCGCTCCCTGATCCGTTTGTGCAATCTTCTCTCTGTGTGCAAATATAAACAGGCCCATGCATATTTGCATTGTTGCATGGAAGTTGCTGCTCTACCTTTATCGTCAATATTGTTAGGACTAACAGTCATGGAACATGCCAACACGCATTCAGTCCTCTCGGTAAGGTGGGGTGGGTTTGAGGGTTCTTTGCGGGGTTTGAAACACAGTATAAGCCAACAAATAAAGAAATACTAAAAAAATTCCATGAAACATATTGTACTCTTTGGTGAACAACCTCAGCACTCGTCCTGTATTAACAGCGACTTTCATGAGAACTCTTCACATGCTGATACGCTGGTACAAGTATTCTTATCAGTATTCACCAGTGATGATTGTCGTGAAATGAAGTTGTTCTGTTCTTTTATTCATGCCTTTCATCATTGTTAATCTTCTCGAGCATTCTCTGTGAATTACTACCCTCTTGTTTATTCCTGAAAGGTACTTATTCTTCCAAGTTGAGAGGATTGTTCTAACTTTCTTATTGCGGTAACTTGTTTTTAGAGACATGACTCATTAAAGAGCACTTTTCATGTTCATTTAAGTGATTTCGTTTCCAGATGTTGTGGTCTCACTCCAATGTCTCCTCCAACTGAGCTTCTGCTATGATTGCTGCTATCTTTTTAAATCTTTGGCATCTTATAATTCAATTGATTCATGTCAGCAGACGTTTAGGTTGCCTAAGCATGCTCTCCCCTTTATTAGTGGAAAATCTTTTGATGCATTTTTCTAGTACTGTACGTAGTGTGTGTGATGCAATTGTCTGTTGCTTTGCAGAAAGTTAAGGACAGCTGGAGAGTTGTGAATCACAGGGATATCATACCATCAGTTCCACGCCTGATGGGTTATTGCCATGTGGCCCAACCCGTCTATCTAGCAGCAGGAGAAATTAAGGATGCCTTGGTATCTAAATAGCTTTATCCTTTCTTAACCAGAACGAGTGAACGAACCCCATCTATTTAATCTCTGCAATACATTCCCTTGAGGAACTCTGGATTAATAACTGGCTGATGGTTTTAAGTGTTCGAGTGTGATGCTTGTGAACTTATCCAGGGAAGCATCATTAGGAAATTGGATCATGACTAGTATTACTTTTCTGTTACTAATATGAGAAAGCAGAAGTTTTACCTTTACAGATGTTCCCAGATCAACTACTTACACAATAGGTTGATGTTATTCAGGTAAATGTGCAGTCTTTGGCTGATGGTTACGAAGGTGACTTCGTTGGTGAATCCACGCCAGATGTTTTAATTAGTGAATTTGTAAGTTCACTTTTCTTCCTTGGTGACTGCAATTTCCTTAGATTGACAAATCAGTATTTCCATATGCTTAACATTAGCACATTTTTATATATCTCATCATAGAGTAACCTATTGTTCTGCTGAAACTGTGTTTTGTGAAGTCACACAGACACACACAATTGTAGCAGTCTTGATGAATTTTGCCGATATATATGTCTATTTGTTAGATAGTTTTTTGATTCTTCATTTATATGTCTGCGTCAAACTACCTTGCCTTTGAGTTGCTTTTGTTGGACAGAAACAGCTCATCCATTTGCTGTTACTGTATATTTTATGCAACTGAGGACTGTCTTTATGTTGAGATGGGTACCTGTAAATGAATTGGTGAGTTACACCCATTGCTGGTGCACAGGTCCAAAGTGACAGATCTCAAACTTCTTTTGCAGATGAAAGGTGAAAAGGAACTCATAGAAAAGATATTGGAAACTGAAATAAACATATATCGTTCAATTAGAGACGGAAGTGCGCTGATGCAACATATGGAAGATTTCTATTACATCACTCTGCTTGAGGTACGTTAAGTTAGAGCCTCATGTATCTACTGTTCATCTTTAATAATACATCCTGAAAAAGCTAAGAGAAAAGGGGAAAACACCACTCTGCTTGAGGTACGTTAAGTTAGAGCCTCATGTATCTACTGTTCATCTTTAATAATACATCCTGAAAAAGCTAAGAGAAAAGGGGAAAACACCCCAAAAATATGAAGTTCCCGTGTGCTGTGTTATCTGTTAGCCATCTTTGAATCAATTGAGTACCTTCTTCTTTTTCATCAGAGTGTCAGATCAAATTACCAATCTGCTGAAAGGTTGCAGACCAGTGACGAAGCAACAGACAGACAACTAAATGCTTAACAGCATGCACGTCATGGTAAATGGGGATATGCTCGTCCGTTCGAGTTACTTAAGCCACACTTTATTACTACCCAAAAAATACACATCTCCTTGTTGTAAATCTCACATGGAGATCGTTAGATCATGCATAATACTGGGCTATTCTGTTTTAGTGTATGGTTCAAGTACAGACTTCGAGAAGAATGGCGTCAGCACCCTTCAATAAATGTACATTGGGGACACTAGCTAATCATAAATGATCAAAATTGTGGCAGTAACTTCCACATTCTAAAACGTAGGATCAGAAATTTATTTCCATATTCTTGCTTCTGTGAAATGACAACTTTCAATTTTCTCTGGAAGAGCGAGGTGAACAGAATGTACAGGTGCATGCGTATGTTTTGAATGGATACAGTGGGTGTCGTGCGATTAACATTTTCCCGTGGAACCGGACGGTGCCAGCCAGTGTAGGTTTTAGAGTCATTTGGTTTCGACCTCGGCCAGGAGTCAATCCTCGTTGAGAGATTGGATAAGGGAAGGCTGAAGAAAGCAAAACACGAGGTGAAGAAACTTCTTGCGCGCTGCACATCCACATGTCGGTGTTCGTGTATACCCTCTGTCTGTTCGCGCAAGCGTGTTTTGGCCGTCTCGTGCACGTCTATGTGCACACGCGAGCGCGCACCAGTGTAAGTGTACTGTGTCAGGTGGTGAAATTGATGATCCCACAAAGTTGGCTCTAATTAGGGTGCGCATGGAATGCATTCCGGAATAAAAATTTTATTCCGAAATGCATTTCGAAACAAAATGGCGTTTGTTAAAAAATTTCCGGACTGCATTCTGGAGCGATTTTTGCATTCTGGAATAAAAATGCTTTTGTTAAAAATACTTGATTCCAGAATGCATTCTTGATTTCAGAATGAGTTTTTGGCAAGAAAAAGAGAAGCTACTTTTTGTAGCTTATTGATTCCGGGATGCATTCTCCCTATTTTCTCACAATTTTTTTTTTTTAGAAAATGCATAAAAATTGAAAAATTCTAGAAAAATTCATAAAAATTTCCAGAAAATAAAAAAAAGTCAGATTTCGGGAAAATATGAAATTTGGTGAATTTTTTTTTAAAAAATAAAAAAAATCAAAAATTTCAAAACTTCACAGAATAGCTTAAAACACATGTGGCCACCCATTTTGAGTGAAATTTAAATTTTTTGAGGTGCCCAAAAAAAAGAAAAATAAAAAAATATATAAATTTTCAAAACTTCACAAAATGGCTTAAAATACCTGTGGCCACCCACTTTGAGTGAAATTTAAATTTTTTGAGGTGCCCAAAAAAAATAAAAATAAATAAATAATTTCAAAACTTCACAGAATGGCTTAGAATACCTGTAGCCACCCACTTTGAGTAAAATTTAAATTTTTTGAGGTGCCCAAAAAAATAAAAAAATAAAAAAATAAAAACATTCAAAACTTCACAAAATGGCTTAAAATACCCGTGGGCACCCACTTTGAGTGAAATTTAAATTTTTTTAGGTGCCCAAAAAAAATTAAAAAAATCAAAAAATTCAAAACTTTACAGAATGGCTTATAATACCTGTGGCCACCCACTTTAAGTAAAATTTAAATTTTTTTATGTGAAAAAAAAATCAACAAATCAAAACAGATTTCTGTTCCAGAAATCAATTTCTGGAGCAGAATTAGTCATGTTTTACCAAACAGATTTCTCCTCCAGAAATCAATTTCTGGCAAGAATTTGATTTCTGGAGTAGAATGGTTACCATTCGCACCCTTATTCGACGTCAGTGACGGAAGAAGCAATACATGTTAACAATGTTATAGCCTAGATGCTTAATGCCACCGCTGGACACAAAGATTCTTTTTTTTCTACATGAAGACTCATGATAGACAAATGACATTTACATAAACTGACGGCGATGGCTTTTACAAATGATCATCGCAAATTGTTTCCATGTATTGCAACGTGGCCCGTTCCTCTGAAACAGTTACTTTATTTGGTCCAGATGATGCATCGACATATCCATTTTTGGTGAGCAGCTGAAGCAGCTGGAGGAATTGCTATCGCCAATGGTGCTTACTTCGGCCCTTAGGCCGAACGGTCGAACCGACCCAAGTAGGCCATTTCATGCCAGACCCGAGACGGTCTGGGTTTTTGGGCCCGTATATGTTCATATTTTTTGAATAGGGCTCAGAGTTAAGAAATCCGAAGGCCCGGTCTGACTCGACTTGACCCAAAAATAAATATCAAAACATTGAGGCAGTCAACAATGTCTACTGACGTCTACAGATGTTGGTAGGTTATTGTTTCCCCTGTGGGGTAGTTCGTAGCAGTACTATCCCCTAAAATGAAACCTAAAAAACCTGGGCTCACTTTGGTCCCAATGCTTCATGCTTGAATGGACTAACGTCAACCTGTCAGCACGGGGAAATATATTTGTCGGTGGCGGGGAAGCCTAACTTTGATTCCATGAAATCCGTTTTTAATATCACGAATTAGATAAGACACGAGACAAATTTCGAATAAAAGGCCATAACATCACGTCATGTTTGTATACTTTGGGGCGAAGAATCTAATCGGGAAATTTCGTCTTTCTAGTGGACGCAGAAAAAGGGAAAAACAGAAAGAAGTCTTTGCCAAAAAAACAGTTTGTTAACTTACCAAAAAAGTCTGACCAAAAAAAAGAAATTACAAAAAAAAAATTGTTAAGAAGACTCCTCAGTTTAGGTAATATACCAATTGCACCTGGAAAAGGGGAAAAGGGTAGGTTTGCATTTGGTTTCTTCTTCCCCGGGATCGCTATGATTTCAAAGCTTGACGTTGTTTTATCCAACCACTGTTGAAAAACTGTAGCTATGCACCGGAAGAACTGTCAGGCTAGGTTTCTAGGGGTTTGACTTCTGCTCTTCAGTTTGTCTCTTACATTCTTATTATCTAAATTCAAGCTGAAGATAAAAAAAAGCAGAGAAGAAAGTGAAGCTTCCCAGTCGTCACGTCATCATATTATTTAAAGGGATAGGTAAACTAAAAGTTCTAAACATTATCACAAAAATATAATTAAATTTTAAAATTTACAAAATATATAATCGAGTCTTAAAATTTTTTGAATTGATTCAATTGAGTCCTCAAGTTAACACCGTCTAATTTCATGAAAGAAAATGTTGACGAAGCGCTGACATGTCTTATTTTATTAATTTTCTTAAGACATGTGCGATGATGCGGCATTAAACAACCGCCACATCAAAAAAAGTTAAAAAAATATAAATTAAATTAGAAAAAGCTATAAAAAAAAGAAAAAAATACCCACAACCAGCGGTTGTGGTGGTTGCCAAGCCCTCGCCAGTGGCCGCCGGGAAGGGCCGGCGAAGGTCGCTTGGGCCTTCCCAAAGCCCGACCACCCTCGCCGGCCTCGAACGAGGCCTCGGCGAAGGCCTGCAGCCACCGATTTGGGGGAGGGCGCGACCCTCACCTGGGGTGAGCGACTTTGGGCAAGGGCTTGCAGCCTTGGGGGAGGGCGTGACCCTCGCTCAGATCTGGGGCAAGGGTCGTGCCCTCCCCAAGATCAGGGGCTACAGGCCCTTGCTGGGAACCGACAGGGCCTCGCTTGGGACTGGCAAGGGTCGCCGAGCTTCAAGAAGGCCCAGGCGACCTCCGCCAACCCCACCCGGCAGCTGTGGCGATGGCCGCTGGCGAGGGCTTGGCCACCGCCATAGCTGCTGGTTGTGGCTCTCTGTTTTTTTTTTTCCTTTTGTTTGACTTTTAGCTTTTTCTAGTTTAATTTATATTTTTTAACTTTTTTCTGACGTGGCGCTTGTGGACGTCACATGTCTCAAGAAATTTAATAAAATAAGGCACGTCAGCATTTTCCGTTAGTAAATTAAACGGTGTTAATTTTAGGACTTGATTGAATCAATTTGAAAAGTTTAGGACTCAAATACACATTTTGCAAGTTTTAGGACTTAATTACACTTTTGTAACAAGTTTTAGAACTTCTATTGAACATATCCCATTATTTAAAATAGTTTTTCTTCCTTATCTTTTTGTGATCTTTATTTCAAGTTTTATTGAAATACTTTGAAAGTAAAATCTTAAAGAATCAATGTTGGAAAGTGCACTCCAAAGATTGTAAGAGGCTAGTGTCACGGTCGCGAGGTTTCCATGCACCAAGGACCATGCACAATCAAAGAATACTCGTCCAAACCCTAACGGAGCTTCCAAAACATTTCCAAAGACGGGCGATATGGTAATTGTGCCGTGTTCTAGAGAGTTCTCGGCATAAATGACACTAGTTAGTTGACGGGAAGATGCAATTTCAGCCACCCTTTCAAGAGTCGATTAATGGATGTAATGAGTCGAGTCCTTTTACAAGTAAAGGCATTCTCCCCCTCATTTGGAGCATCCATATCAATTGAAACATTTTTATTCTCTCCCAGAGCTCTTCTCTCTAGACTTTATCTCTCTACGATCCGAGTGAGCGATCAAGAAAAGACTTGGCTTAGACACTCCAACAATCCAAATGAAGCCTAAGTCGCTGCATGGATCGTTTCCAAACTATCGACCTGTAACACTAGTCCATGGCCGGAGGTTGTAATAAGAAATCAAGCAGAACATACCTAATTGAGTTTTGTTTCTTACACTGTCTAAAAATGGACGAAAATTGCAGGTTTAGCAAAGACAAAGCATAGTTAATGTTTGAGGAAGCTTTGGTTTATCAAAGAATGAAAAACTTCATAATTAGCTAAACTCTGAAAACCAAAAACTTGCAGAAAAAGGGTTAACATAGAGAAATAGCAAATTTGACAGGTAATCTCTCTACGTTCATATTATATCAATTTGCCATAATTATACATTCGGAACGACCCACCCCAGCTCTCCAGTCGGTCCATGGCATTAACTTCCCATCTGTGATTACATAATGCTAAAAAAAGAAAGAAAAAAATAAGTAAATTCACTCCTTTTTCATTATCCTCTAATTCTTGCAAGAAAATTTATTCTTCCTCCTAATTAGCAACAAAACATCAAGTAAGTTTCCTGGTGGTGGTGTGAGCACCATTTTTGTTGCTCATGATTCTCAGGCTCTGCCTCAGGATGTCTGCCTCTCTCTCACTCTTGTGCTTGTCTTGTTCCAAGGATGCCAGATGAGACTTGAGAGCTTCAATGGTTTCTTCCTTGGCTCTCAGCTCCCTCTTCAGCTCTTCCACCATTTCTTCTTCCTCCGGTCTCCAACACAGTAGTCCCTCTCCTGCACAAAATTTCCTTTGGTTAATCATTTGTTCTGGTGAGATAATCATGTTTGCCTGAGGAAACGTTTCAAGAGAAGCTCTGTTCAAGAAAAGGGTCCTTCTGGTTTTTAGGGGAAATTAAGAACATAAGAATTATTGGATCACTGCTAAGAAGTTAATAGAATAATAATGTCATAACATAAAACGATAGAAAAGTAAAGAACAAGATCATAAATTTCTGAACTTCTTATTCACTGCCATAATATTGTTCGGCCCTAATTAATGAAAGAAGGCTTTGAGAAATCATACCATATTCGCTTTGAGCGTTATCTTCACTACCCAGAAACTTCTTTAACAAACTATGCTATTCACAATGTTACCCGAAAAGTACACCCACTATTTTAATAAAAGCATGCACAAGAACTTCATTTTTTTTTCGCCAAAATGAACCTACACAAAAGTGGAAACCATTCGTGAAGAGAGCAGACTCAAAGTAGCAAAAAAGAGCAGCACTCATTGTAGTACTCATCAAAGAAGAAAAACATGAGTCTTGCAGTCAGCATTGAGAAAAGTTTCAATCAGAACTTTTGCGCTTTGTTTTTGTGGGTTGTGGATAAGTATTGTGCCACCTGAAGTCAGCACACACTCTTCAAAGGAGTTCCAGAGCGGGTGAGTCGCGAGCAAAGCTAACAATAATACCATGTTGATGGCTGGTCAGATCGAGTAGTACAGAGAGAGGGGCTGACCGCAATGAGTGGTACGGATGAGATCGTCAAGCTCCATCTTGATGGCAAGGTAGAGCTGCTTCCACTTTTCCACAGCCTCGTCCCTCCTTGCCCTCTCCTCCCTCATCTGCTCGACCAACAATCCCCAATCCTCACCCACCACCACCATCTCTCCCCCTCCTCCTCCTCCTTCCATCATCCCTGTAATCCTCTCCTCCTTCTCCTCCACCACCTTCCTCAGCCTCCTCACCTCCTCTCTCAGCCTCTTCCTCTCCCTCCTCCACTCACCCTCTTTAAGTGCAAACACCATCACCTCCCTCTTGTAGGACTTGGCCTCCTTCTCCCTCTCCTGCACTATCCCATTGATCTCCTCTTGGAGCAGCCTCACTCTCTCTGCGAAGAGGCCCTTCAAGTCCTTGCTTTTGTTTGAGCTGATGGCCTTCTTGCTAATGGAGCTGGAAGTAGCAGCACCCATATGGTATATATGTCGGCGTTGAGTGCGCGCGCGCTCTGATTTATCAGTTTCTCTGGGGCAAATGGAGTGATATGAAATTATATCTCTCTTTTTATGCGGGCGATGGCGATGATATCTAGAGAAGAGTGAAGAAGTGAGAAAGAAAAGGGAGTATGCTTATGCTTTAATGGTTGGTGGGGCTTATACTGGGCTAGAGAACAAAAAAATGTGTCGGGCATAAATTTTTGCAGCAGAGGCTCCTCCAACCCCATGCACATGGAATTATGCAATTTCCCACTAAATCTCTCTCTCTCTCTCTCTGTGATTTCAATCATTTATGGAAGAGTCAAAGATGCCCGTGAAGCTGACTGTGCCTACGTTTTAACTTAAAAGAAGACTGTGCACACCTTGCATGTGTGCACGCTATAAGCTAATAGCTATGTGGTGTGGACAAGGATTACACAGCATTATACCCATTCAGTCTTCACATCCCCATTTGAATGACAGAACACCTAGTAATTATTCTTAGGGCAACCTTAGGGAGCGCAGATACGTGTGTCTCGATGGTTTGGCGGGTGTTGAAATTGCCGTAAGAGTTCAAGTATTGTATTTTAGAGATAAGAAAAAGAAAAGAAGAGAAAAGAAAAGGCTAATGCCTATGAAATTTGTGTGGGGACCTCTAGCTACCATCCTTGTACGTATACATGTTTTTTGATTCAATTATTAGCAGCTTTTTTAACATTGTTTTAGTAGGTCTCCGACAGAGACAATTGGCTCGCACTTGGAGGATGGTTTTGCTGGCATTATTTATTCTGCTTTTTTGCTCCTTTTTGGCTCTTTCAAGTCTTATCTCACTTTCAACACCGACCTGTTCTATTTTCTGAAGGCAGCAGATCCATCATGGTATCAGAGTAATGCACGATCGGGACCGCATTTGCTTTCCCTTTGTTGTTTGTTCTACGAGTAAGAAAACTCATTTTAAATGAATAAAGTGAATTTTGAGCCTATAAAATATTGTCAATACTTTTGTGAACTAGATAAGATGCAAAACTTTAGTAAGTAGCCCACATGTGAAATTGCTGGTACTGATGATGAAGAATCTAAACCATGTCATGCGCCTAACACATACAAAATAATTGGTTCGTTAATCTAATCATCGTGCTTGCTCGGGGTGAGTAACGATTCAGATTCGATCCTGAAAAACCAGCCGGAACTGGCCCGATCTGTCTTGTTCGGAGACGTTTTTAGGAGAAGAGAATAGGTTCAATGGGCCAAAATTTAGAAACCAACAAGTTTTGTTCAGTTCCACTTTGATCCTTGAATCCGCTGGTTTTACTCGTGAATCGAACCAAATAGGCCAGTTTCTTGGGTAGAATTGGTTTTAAACGAACTCTGAACTGGTGGACACACTTTCTTTGAAAAATTTGCTTTACCAAATAAAAGGTTAATAGTTAAAGTCTAACGTCATATAAAAAAGCCCACAAATTTAAACTCACGCGCAGCTCACACCAAACAAAATAAAAGCTGCAAAAAAACCATTTGGATTTCATATTTTACCCATAAACTAAACAGGTTAAATTCCAGGCCAGTTTTAGGGTGAACTAGTTTGATTCCCTATTTTAGGTTATTTGGAAACCTTCATGATCTGATTTAATTCCTAATTCCAACCTTGGGAAAAGTACCAAAAAAATCATAAACCTATTATATTGATACTAATTCAGTCTCAAATATTTCAATTGGACCAATTTAGTTATAAATATTTTCACATTAGTAACAATCCAATCCATTCGGCCAATTTAGGCTAGAAATCATTGACATAGATACTAGCCATTCTACGTGGCATGGCCAGTGTTGACATGGATATTTTAAATTATTTTTTATTTTTTTATTAATTTTTAAAAAAAATTCCTTTTTTTCCTTTTTTCTTTTCTTTTTTTTTTCGTTCTCTTTCCTTTGGCCTGTGGCGAGGACGACCCTCAATTGTGGCCAGTCGCTAGCCATGGCCGAGTACCGGCCACAAGCCAAAGGAAAGAGAACAAAAAAAAGGAAAAAGAAAAAAGGAAAAAATTAATAAAAATTAAAAATATTATTAAAAATTTCTACGTCAGCGCCGGTCGTCCGCCAGCTATGCCACGTAAGACGGACGGTGTCCACGTTAACAATATTCGGCTTAAATTGGCTGGATGGACTTAATTTATATCAAAATGAAAAGGTTTAGGACTACATTGGTCCAATTGAAAGTTTTAGAACTGAATTGTTACCAATACAATAGACTTATGATTTTTTTAGTATTTTTCCCTTCCAACCATGGAATCAGACCACCCGAATCATGCTCGGCTCCAATGCCAGTCTCATTGGGGTATCAACGTTGATCCTGCTCTAATTGTATATCCGTTGTTATTGTGTGAAATGAAATCTAAATATTGCATTAACATCTATTTTATTTTTTGCTATGTTCTCTTGAGGAAGAACTATTTGAAACATGGAATAGATTCAATAAAATAGGTCTTTTCACGAAAGAATTAATGTTTCTAACTTTCTTTATATAGCACACTCACTCAATGGTCCATATTATGGCAAACAGCGGTAAAAATCTAAATTAGGGTATGAAGTTGGGTCAGTTTCTCAAAAAAGGGCTCAGAGTGGACATTATTTTAAATAAGGGCTTAAAGTGACCAATCAGTCTCAAACAAGAGCCTGTTCTCCGACCGGCGAGCAAGTGATATTTCCGGCGACTTGAGTAGGGAACTTTAGTCCAAAAAAAATTAAATAAAAAATTACAATTCGTAAATTTTTTTAAAAAAACCCAAATTACTTGATTCAAACTTGTCCACGGGCGTGTTGGGCAATCAATGACAATGTGGTGGGGGGTCAAAGATGGGAAGAAAAAAAAAAGTAATTTGGGCTTTTTTTTTAAATTTTAGGAATTATAATTTTTTATTTAAATTTTTTTTGAACAAAAGTGCCCTTATTCCGGTCGTGGGAAATATCACTTGCTCGCTAGCCGGAGAATATTTGACCGACCGTCAAGCTTAGGCTTTAATTTGAGATTGATTGGCCACTTTGTGCCTTTATTTGAAACAATATACACTCTGAACCCTTTTTTAAGAAAATGATCACACTTCAGGCTTTTATTTGGAATTTTTCCAGCAAAAAGCCCTATACATCCTATTTTTCTTCTTAATAATGAAGGCATTTACAATGCCATCAATATTTCTTAATTCTTCTTTGTGAGAAAGAAAAATAATACCTATAATAGAAGGACTAACTGATTAACCCCAAACATTATTAGTAATGATAGTACGTAAATGTAACTCATTATTTAAACAACTATTTATAGTTTCAGGAAAATTGTCCAAAAAGTCATAAATATATTACACTTTTACAAATTCTGTCATAAACCTTTTAATTGTGCCAATTGAGTCCTAAACCCTTTCACATTTTGCCAATTAAGTTCATTCAGCCAATTTTACCAGAAATTACTGACGTATATACCGGGTGTCCTACATGGCATGGCAGATGCTAACGTGGGCATTGACGTTGATATTTTTATAATATTTTAATATTTTATCTAATTTTTTATTTATTTTTATTTTTTCCTTTTTTTTCTTTCGCTTTTCCTTCTTTACCCTTCTTACCGTGGCCGACGAGGCTCCGGTGACCCCTCGCTGGCCACTGGGCAAGGGTCGCCGGCCGCAGGCGAGGGCATCACGGCCCTCGCCAATGCCCAACAAGGGTCGAAAAAAAAAGAAAATAAGGAAAAGAGAAGAAAAAAAAAAAAATTATGTCAGTTCCGGCCGCACCACGTAGAACGACTGGCGTTTACGTCAATGATTTCCAATTAAAATTGGCTCGATGGACTCAATTGGCAAATCGTGAAATAATTTAGAACTCAATTGGTACAATTAGAAGGTTTATGACTGAATTGATAAAAAAAATAATAAGTTTAGGACTTTTTTGATTGATCATATTTAACTTTTCTTGTTCTATCTCAGAGTATCCATTCACTCGAAACCGCTCCACTTCCATTTTCACTTTTCGACGATGTGCCCAGGCTTTTTCCAGCCTTTCAATAGGCCCCCATGGTGGGGACGTGTCACAGGTGCGGGGTTCAGCTCCCGCGTTCTACAAGAGGCAAAGCAAAAGTTAGAAAGTGAGAATAGTTAGAGATGCGACGGATAAATAAAAAAAGCCCCCTTGTAATTCCTCTATTTTCTATTCTCCATTCACTAGGAGTAACGCATTTATCGTCATCGTAACAACTTTTAATGCATATTACAAATTAAAACCCTTCTACGTAAAACATCTATTCCAAATCCATTGTAGGTTATTATTCGGGTTAATACCATGAAAAATCCTAAACTTATACACTTATGATAAATTTATCCCAAACTAATTTTTTGATCTCCAAAAATCCTACACTGGTACAATTGTGACAATTTTACCCTCCGTTAGTTTCCGTTAAATTTCTGAGTTAGATGACACGTGGCAAATGACAAGTGTACCGGTTTGGGGGTTTACCCTCCGTTTGTCACTGGTGTACCGGTTTGTGATTTTTAACGGAGGGTAAATTTGTCGCAAATGTACTAGTTTGGAATTTTTTGTGGTCAAAAAATTAGTTTAAGTTAAAATTGTCACTGGTGTATCAGTTTGGGGTTTTTGGTAGTCAAAAAATTAGTTTGGGATAAATTTGTCATGAATGTACCAGTTTGGGGGTTTTCAGGGTATTAACCCTTATCATTAATAGAAAACCTTATTATTAATATTTTTCTTCCTTTCCTACTTTTTTTTGGTCGAAAACCTTTCCTACTTTATGAACTTGCTTTTGAACCTTATCAATAAGAAAATGGAAAATAGTATACCTGACTTTTCATTTCAGTACTAAAAGCATATATCTATTTTCAATAATACAAGTTTCATACATCATATCACTAGAAGGATTGAAATGCCTTCCTTTCTGTAAAAGTCCCAAAAACCCTAACCTTACACCACGCGAACATCCAAATTCTCAAACTAGGTCTGCCACCACTTCCGCTGTCTCGGACCGCTCCCCCGACATACCCCGTCGCCTTTCCTCAGGTTAGGTCTCTCTCACGCGCGCAAGCAACGGCAAGCTTGACGAGAGCCTTCGCAGCCATCACAACCTACAATTAAGATTCGATTTTCTTGGACTTTATGGACGCGTGATGTAAATCTAATGGCTAAGAACAGTAAATGAATCCAATGCCCAATGCCTCTCGGCCCTCACCTCCAAATAGGAAGCTCACAAGCCTCACATGTTGCCTAAGAA